AAAATCCCAGTTACAAAGTACGCGCACTTCTTCCTCCTACAACTCCACTCCAAATATAGTTCTAGTCACTACAATAACATCAGTTCAATTTGTGTCACTTATCTACTGAAGCAAGACGACTTATCACAAACAATGACATAATCATCAAAAGAGACACAGTACAAAATATGAGGAATTTAGTAATGCAGGGGTATATTCCAAAATTAAGCTTTCCCGCTTTAGGAATTGAGATCACATACTTTTAAACTTGTTGGCGCGAAAAAAATAATTAAAAAGGTAGCAAAAAAAAAGTCAAGAAAACTACCTGAACGTGTAAATAAATGTTTTCTATAGGAGGATCTCGCCGGCATAAAGAAATCACATGTTCCAGCAACATTGTCCCTATCCCTAACCTAAAAAAACTCTGCAAAATCACACAGATACTACTGTATAAAAATGACATCTAAAGCAATCACACAGAGTAGTTGCAAAAACCGTAGTTCTCATTGCTCAAATCTCAGAAAAGAAAACACTTATAAATTTCTATTTACCACTGCACGCAACAACGTATCAAAAAGCTTCATAACATTCATTTAAAACCCTCTCCTGTCATTTTAAAAGATATTCAGCCAAAGTTTTTCTAGAATACCAACAGACTATTTAACCTTCGTCGTAATAACATCCTGAAAGATAATTAAATTTTTCACCGAAAGGATTACCTCCTGTACGGAGCCAATGTACCAAGTGTCATTATATAAAGCCTACGAACATTATTTTGGACGTCAATACGACAACAAACTCCTCCAACAACAATGTCATTGAAATATGCTAATTTGGCAAGTTCTCCTGCAGTGACCACTTCTTTATAAAATTTATCGTTATATGATACCGGAAAAACGGCCTGATTCAATCGCTTCAACTGCTACAAAAAAATGCAAGAAGTAAATCAAATGGCTTGGTAAAAGACAAAAAACCTTCAAAGGAAAATTGATAAATTATAAGCATACGAGCCAAAGCCTCAGGAACAAGAGAGAGAGTTAAAAAACGAACGAACAGCAACCTGAACATTATGATGGGTAACATCACCCAAAGCGATTTCGCAACGACCCATACAGCGCGGCTTCAACTCTGAGTTACAGTTACTTTTCTGATCCTGATCTGCTGGCAGATGACCGCCGTCCCCTGTAGAAGTTATTGATGGCGCCATAACTGCAAAAAACTCGTAACCTATCAAACAATGACGCCATGACGAAACAAATAAAACGACGCCACACATCGTCTCAACCGAGTTCAAAATACCAAGAACTAAAACCCAACTGGGTGGCGACAGAAAACGTCACAAACCCTAGCTAATCTCTGCATCATCTACCACAGTAAAAAAATAAAAAAAAACTTGAACCCTTCAAGCTGTCGTGCCCACTACTAAGGGTTAGTGATAAAAATGAATTATGAGCCTAGTCCCTCTAAAACTTTATTAGGAGCAGCTCAGGTCACCAACACCCCCCTCCCCTAAAAAAGCAATAATTACTAAGGGCAAAAAATACCGTGGAAGTATCACATAGCAGATTCAAAACATTTTTATCATTTTGATAACCAAAAACAAGACAGTGAATGCTTATGGCAAGAGAAACAAACAGTTAAAAACAACATTAAAAATCTATTACTCCAAAAAACGAAAATAAAACGTCAGGCTTGGAAAATTCAACAAGAGATCAAGTTTAACGTATAAAAAATACATTCCTTCCGTTAAGCACAAAATTTGTCCGACTCTACGCAAAGTAAATGAAGAGCTGCTAGAGGTCGATTATACATAAAGAACGAGCATCCCAATGAGGTACCATACTTCCCAGAAACCAAACGTAGCGGCTAATAAATGCAGAAGCAGAAAGCCTCATGAAAAAGAGAGGTAAAAACACTTCAAAGTCACCGAAGCAACTGCAGTTTCATGAAAAACAAACAAAAAGTTAGAAGGCAAAAACACAATATTAACAGT